AGATTCCAACTTCTACCGCTAGTTCTCGTGTAGTTATATGAGGATTTTCATTAATAAAATCCTCCACCCTTCCAATTATGTATTTCATTATCAATTTTAAATACAAATTTCTTTCTTTCTAGTGATAACGATGATAATAATTTATTATGTGACGTTATGTAAAAATATGAAATATAAAATTCGACTTGGTGTTTTAGTGAATGCGAAGAATAATTAATTAACGAAAATAATAAAAGGAAAAAGGAAAATAGAAATTCATTCTAGAGGTTGGGAATCGGTTTTATTTTCAAGAAACGGGTTTTATCAAACGAAAGCAAAGTTATTTAATTATACTAAATTGTAACAACAATTTCCGTGAATATATATATATTTATGCTTTACTCTCAAACTATCTTTCACTGTCATTAAACAATTCCTTGCTAAATTATATTATTGTATTAGTGTAAACATTAAATAAATGTATCATCTTTCGATTGTGAAAATAGTAATAGTAATAGTAATAGTAATAGCAATTAAGGATCACGAACGATTTACGAACATTTCAAAGATTCAAATCAGTCCAATTTGATAAAGTGCAATAAGCTAATAAAATAATTAACTCGCGGAAATTATCAAAAAAGTAACGTTTCTTTAATTATTTCCAAAAGAAAGGTTTGTTTATTTTTAAGGAATACTTTAATTAAGAGTTTTTAGAAATGGGGAGCTAGATGATAACATGTATAAATAACATAGTAATATTCTAAACTAAAAAAAATAGAAAATCAATAGTTAATGAATAGTTAATTCATAATAAATAACCGACTGTCCTTAACCTTAACCTTGTCTTGTTCTTGACCCGGTCTTCGATTTTATATTTTCCGTGCATAATTAATTTTCTCTTATTTTATAATTGTCTCTATTTTATTATTATTTTTTATTTCTTTTCTTTTCTTTTAGTAGGTAAATTTTATTTAGTGAAGGTTGGGAAATGTACCTGAGACGAGTAGGGAGTAATAGTGCGAGAGGGGCATCCACCAATAAACGTGATCAGGACATAGTGTGAAATCTAAGGATATTGTTTAGTATTGCTTAGCAACGAATCGTTTAATGACGGTGAAAGATAGTTTGGGAGTAAAGCATAAATATATATTCGCAGAAATTGTTATTACAAATTGGAAGAAATTGTATTATTTATTAGCATAAACATCAAATAAATAAATAATCATCATTGAAGCTTGGACACGATCTCACAATATACATTCATATATAAATTATATGTACATTAATAATATATATAATTCAAAAAATATACATATATATTCTTTTTTTTTTGTTTTGAAAATGGTGACGGAGAATTTGATAAATGATTTATGATTTTAGCATAGTGATTGTATGCATAATAATAATAATAATAATAATAATAATAAAACCGGTTGTCCGAAATAAACTGGTTTTATTATATCTGGTTTATCGAATATTAATATTAATATGAAAAATAGGAACCTCTAATTCATTCAATCATTTCCTTTTTCTTGAATGACGTGTAACAAACAAATTTTTCGCACAACATTTTTTTGATTTTCTCTAACAGGATTAAACGAAAATTGCATTATTTAAAGAACAACTTCATCATCACCAAACTCTAGTAGTCGATTTATCGTGATACAGCAATAAAGAAATTCTTTGAAGATTTGAAAGTGATAAAAAAAGAAAACAAATTAAAACTCACAACAAAATTTGTCTTATGTGCTATGTAAAGGTACCAATATTTATCAACCTATGTTGCTTCAAACTCGGGCACTAAAGCACATTATTAATATTATTGCGTATTACTATTAAGCGTAGTTAACTTCAAAGCCAAAAATTCGAAAAACATCAATCTAACACAATTCATATATATGCAAAGACAGTTTGATTTTTTGCATTTTATGAAATGTAATAATAAAAGAATGTTTTAATTTGTAAAAAAGAAGTCATTTTTATTCGAAAAAAATATACGAAAGTAAAATTTCTAATTCAATTTACAACATTTGTAAACTTCCCCGTGATAATTATTCTCCTTGCATCATTGCAATATACATACAATGATATAATAATTCTTTATTCATCCCCGGGACACACATTTTTAAACTTTTGATAAACTTATTTTATCATCATCATTATCGTTGCTTGTATCAAGCGTTTTTACTTGTATCAAGCATTTTTTACTTACGTCAAGTGATTTTACTTACGGCAAATGGTTTTACTTACGTCAAGGGCTTTTACTTTAGTCAAATCGTCAAAATGGCCCTGGTGAGAAACTACCTTTAGTCAATACTTTAGTTACGTCAATGACTAAAGTCAAAAGTTTTGTCATACATCATTAATGGTAGTCAATACAATTCCACATCAATTTCTTAAAAGAACTACTATCTTTAATCAATATCCTCTTGTACCACCTGGAAAACAACCACCACCTCAACTCAATGTCCAACTTTCACCTGTTCCTGAATAAACTGATACTTTTACTATGTCTAGAACATTAAGTCATCCCACCATCAAATTGACAGTATCTTTGTTGTATTTTTTGATCCTGTAGCTAAGATTACCGTAAGTAATCCAATTGTTGTGCCAATCAATCCTGGAATACCGTTTTCTCAAATAGTGGAGGTTCATGTACCAGCAAAGTTACCTAAATTCATACGGTATTGGAGTTACTGTTGAGGATATACAAGCTACGACTTCTTTAGGCTGTGCATATAATATTTGTTGGTGATGCTGCTAATCTGCAGATATTGACTTTTATCCCATCTCATTATAATAAAAATCAAATAGAATAATTTAATGGTTAGTTATTTTTTACAACGGATTCTACTCAATTTAATTAAATTTATATATTTTATTATTTTATATTGTCGCTGTCATCATATATATTTGTATGTTGATTTAAAACAAGCAAATTCGAAATATTTAAAATTTTATAATTCTTTATTCAGTATGAATAATCTCGGTAATTTCATATCCAATATCGCATGGCAATTTGAAAAATGTGAAAAAAGTGCTTTACATTTTCAATTATATTGTGAATTAAAAAGTTCATAAAGATCAAAAATGCGGGATCATATTGAGATAAGAAGCAATTGATTATTGTGTAAAAAAGAAGAGTCGATGGTTAGTGAAGATTGGGACCCAAAAAAGAAAAGATCAAAAAACTGACAAATTCAAGAAATCGAAAACTCTTTTCAAATAAATCCATATTAATATCCACATAGAAGATCTATCGTAAAATATTTTACCAGATATTGGAAAAACTTCATTTGTAAGGCATAATTTTGTTCATGTTCACTTTATTATAAAGATAGATTGGTTGTTTTTTATGGTTGGATAATTATTGAGGTTATTTGGTGAGAATACACAACGTCTTCTTGTCAGGGATTGTAAACATGGGTAATATAAAATTATATACAAATTATTACAATTTATTTATTTGACTCTTAAAATTATAAATTGTAAAAAAAAAATTATAACTCAATAAACAAATAAAACACAAGATATACAAGTCATCATTTAGAAATGGAAGAATTTCTCTTGATTCAATTATTAAAAATCTTGAAGATATAAATAAACAAGAAAATTTTTGCTAGTAGCATTAGCAATAGAAATATTATACTTTTGATTTATTAACAATTTCAACATAATAAATTTCCTCAATTATATACATATTATATTAATTCTTAATATGGGTGTAATATTGGTAAAAGATAGATAGTAATCAAAATAATTATTAATAATATGATTTTTACTTGATTAGATTTTATTCGGTTTTGGTCGTCCATCATTTGGTTTTGGTTATCTATCATTCGGTTTTGACCATCTCTAATCTTACTTGCAAAAAATTTAAATTTTTCTTCTATCGAATGGAGCCTTTCTTCTATGGTGATGAATCTTGCTTCAATAATACTATCTTTTGGTATAAACGCGGGGAGGTCTTGACGTAGATCGTATATATTTGAGAGCAAAATTTTATATTCTGATGTTTCCTTTCTTTGTATTGCTGGATTAGAATAACCATCTTTGAGAGATGTAACGAAAATCCCTAAAGTATATTCAGGGTACCTTGATAGCACACCTTCAAAATCGCGAATTTCCTTGACTTCTACTTTTTATTCGAGTAATTTTTACATTGTACAATTAACAAGTACAATTTATAATTTCCCACAATGTCCACACCACCATCACCCTGTGAAATCCTACATAATAAAATAAAGTATTTATGAGCAAATATTATCATTGTCATCAAGGTAAATACATAGGAACCAAGTACGAGCATTTATAATACACACATCCTATTCATCACAACTTATGGAGTCTCACCAATAAGCTTTCGGTTACAGAGCAAATAGAGAAGGACGTTCACCAGTACGATTACTTGGCTCTAATAACCTGACTCGGTGGCCACGTGGAGCTTCCAGTTCTCTATTTGTCGTGCTTCCTAGTGACAGCGTAACTTCAGATGCATAATGACTAAACAATCACTCAGTGAGATAACCCACCTTACTCGTTTACAATCAACCTTCATACTTGTAAGTACTCGAGAAACTTTCTTTTCAAAATCGTTTCCTTTTGCAAAAGCAGAATTGTTCATATTGTTATAAGGTAATTTTTGAGGTTAAAGATTTGTTTTTACTTACCTGTTTATATATATATATAAATCTAAGCGACAATGTGTTTAATATCCTAAAATGTGAATAACCCACCTTATTTATTACTTTAGATTTCTTGGCTGACGTCAATCAGATTACATAAAAAAAATCGGTTGAGTAACCTTTGATTGATTGATAACATCAATGTCACAGTAAAATTACACACAGTCAAAGCTCATTAAATTCATATTCAATAAATTCATAATTGCCTAAATTCATAATTTTTTCAGGAACCAATGCCACTTATATTAAAATCCTATTCGATAATTTCATAATCATAATAAAATCTCGATAATGGATAAAATCATAATTCTCTTACTTTTATTATATAAAAATCTCGCACTTTAAATTCATGTCTCTAACTATTGTTATTACAGTAAATTAAATTTTCTTCTCTAACTATTGTTATTAAAGTAAATTAAATTTTATTCTCTTGTCAAGTTTTGAAATTAAGAGTAAAAATACAGATGATAATTGACAAAAAAAAAACAATTTCTTGAATGTGCAAAGAGCTTTTAGTTAATAATAATAATTGGGAATTTTTCATAATTACAATTTTTTTATCAAAAATCTTAATAGAAAAAATCTCTATAAAGCCATATATTTCCTATCCTCATCATATCATGAAATTAAAGAGTAACTCTCGATAATGGCATTGATTCCTGAAAAATTATGAATTTAAGCGATTATGAATTTATTGAATATGAAATTTAACGAACTTTGACTATGAGATCGTGTCCGAGTATACTTTATTTATAATTTCAACACTCTTTAATTTTCTAATCCTAAAATGCAATTGCTTTTCTTCACCAATATAATCAATAATTTCAATAATGTCTTTCACTAATAATTTCTGGTAATAATTTTCATTACCCCCGATCACGCTTTTCCCAGCAGATACTCTTTGTTTATCTGTCCGAGTCAAGAACGTCCAAATTATTAATATACTTGACCTCGTACTTTCGGGCTTTACTTTAATATTTTTATTTTCGGCCTAATATCTTCTTCTGGCCTTAACTAGGTTTCTGCTGGTCTTAGGTATCTACTTAGTGTCTGTTTTCTAAATAAAAAATAAATAAAAATATATAAAACCATATTTAGCAAAAGTGTTCCCTCTGTTAAGATAGGAAAAAAATAATGTAAAATATAGTAATGAATATAAGATTAATTATGCACGGGATATGGATTCATTATTAGAGATGGATTTATTATCATCACTAAAATATAAAATTCGAAGACAACAACAAGGACAAGGACAAGGATAAAGATAGTTTGTTATTTATTATTGTTGTGATGATGTTATTAGTTCTCTGTTTTCCAAGAACTCTTAATTTGTTCTAATTAAATGTATTCCTTAAAAATAAACAAGAACTTTCAAGAATAATTCCAAGTTCTTTTTAACAAATGATTTTGAATTCAGAATTAAAGAAGCGTTACAATTTAGAATATTAGAATAATCTTTCTTGATAATTTCCGTGAGTTATATTGATTATCAAGTTGGACTGGTTTGAATTCGTGGTTATTATTATTATTATTATAATATTAAAATATATATTAATATCTAATTAACAACGGGAGATGCATGTATTGCCTAACATAAAAAAGGAAATTGTGGAAATTGACAATAAATCTTATTGTTTTATTCTTTACTTGTTATAATTATGTAGTTAGCTTGCAAATAATTGTGGCTAACCATAATGAATATGGCGAAGGAAATTAAACAATAATATTATTTTCTTTTATTAAATTTACTTGATAAGTAACATCATTAATTAAATTGACAATAATGGAAAGGAATTTGTGAAAAATTTTTTTATTAAATTGACAAAAATGGAAAAATAGAAATTTTGAAATCTAAAGATAAAAAAATGTCAATATTGTTGTTTAAAACCATCGGGTTATTCGTTTGTTTGAATGAAGATAATTAATAAAAATGAAAGCTCAATTTTCTTATCATAAAATTTGGTTTTTAAAAAAATCAATTCACAAAACACGAAGCAAAATTAAATTTCTTTAAAAAAAACATTCACAAACATAAAGCAAATTTTAAATTTTAAAAATCAATTAATCTCTCGGTCAAAACGAATTCAAAATACAATCACACAATTAATGCCATTACTTTACTTTGTGGATAGAATTATATATATATGTATATAAATTTATTTCTTATTTATTATACTTATTATTTTTTAAATATTAATAAAGCTCCAAATTTTTTTTTTAGAAATAAAAAAAAAATTGATGCAAAAGAAAGCAAAAACTAATAAACTAAAATAACTATATAACAATAAGTTAAAGAAAACCATATTTTTTGATAATTTTTTGGAAATTCGCGGAAATCGGCTTAATTCGTGTTTCGCCAATCATGTGTAGAAATCTACATTAAAAGAAACTCATTACCAAATTTAGTCGTGAGATTCAAAATATTGTAACACGAAAATTATTGTTGCATAACTTTCAAATTTAAAAAAATCTATGAAAAAGAAAATTTCGAGACAAATTTTTTTTTTTAGATTAATAGACTCCATTTTTAAAGCTGAATTGAATGGTGGTGGGTTTTTAAAATCCAATGTGTGGATCACATAATATTTCAAAAATTTTAACTTTTGAGTATAGATGATCCGCACTGTAGTGATCTGCAGCGATAAGTTAATTATAAAAATTTTACCTCAAAATGGAATCTCACAATTAAAACCACCAACGCATATTAACACATATAAAAAAACATAGTAATTTTTATTTCCAAAAGGTTATATTTATTCTAGCATATATTATGGATATTATTTATAACAAATAATAAGAGCTTTAATAA